CCTAAAGTTGATGGATACATTCATGCCTACTGCTGAAATCTACCAATTACACAGAACTACGTTAACTTACCATAGAAACATCTCATCTAATAGCACAGATGATGTTGAACTAACTAATTACATTATGGCACATAGACAATGAAAAACATAACGAAGATGACAGCACAGCAACAGCAGATGCTGCACAAAAGAAAAATTAGAAAAATATCGCTCTGCAAAATGCTCTCAGTTAAGGTTTTCTCTGTTAAAATTAATTAGAAAAATTAGTGAAGATCGGATTTCAGAAAAAGATATGAACATTGTAATGGTATTTGGAAGACATCATTAAGCCATTTAAAACTCTGCTCCTCAAGAAGGTAATTCCCATTTTTCGTATCACAATCAGTTTTAAGACTACTAAACATTTTAGTGCCTATGGCAGAATTTCTTGGGAGAGTATCTTTTCCAATAAGGAGAGGTCGTGATGGCTCTTCCAGAGTCTGAGTTTGGTAGCTTTCAGCCATTACAGGCTTAGGTAATTAGACAACTTAGGTTTTATTTTAGCCTGGCATTTGTTCTATTGTTGTGCTCTTAGCTGTCAGAAAGCTAGAATAATAGTGACTTGATTATCTGTAGCATGCCTTGTTACTTTATATATTTTAAATTGTACCAGATCCTAAATAACAAATCTAAAACTGCTGAGTATGTTTAAATGTAATATGTATATGGAGATTACATCAGATTATATATTTCATAGACCTATGCTAAAAAAGCCCCCAACACATTACTTTTAACAAGAACACTGGTCATCTATCCCCTTTCCTTGTGGAAGCTTTCCATGAGCTCCCAGTCTGCGTTATGCACAGACTCTGAACATTTGCCAGTCTGTAGAGAAAGATAGAAGTAAGACATTTCTCCTGCATTTAAATCATACCTCTAGTGTAATTCAAATGCCAATATTTTATTTGCCATATAATTAGAAACAAAAAGGATTGGTGATATTTTATGTTTTCCCGAGATATTTTTCCTAGCTAGACATTTTTTTCCTTAAATTTTGACTGGTTACCGGGCACAGGCCTCCGTGGTCCAGCTGAGGCCAGGGATGCAGATATGAAGGAGGCCCACAGGTGGCGATGTGGTTAAAGTACACCTGGGCTGTGATGCCCGAGATTAGATTTACCAGCCGGTTTGTCAGAGGGAATTCGGGCTGCATTCCTGTACCGATGCACGCACTGTAAATAAGTACTGCCAGCTAAAGTTTCGGATACCTGTGCTGGTTCATCCCTTCCACCTCAGCTGCCAACAGGAACAGGTTTAAACATACTTTCTTGCCTTGGTCAACTGAGAGACCGTGGAGGCAGACAAACTCGTAATTCAGTGACGCTGCCATCACTAGATACTTATTTGACAGCAGCAATGAAATGTCCCCCGCGCCGCGCCAGGCCCTGCCCTGCCCTCTCCCGAGGCGCAGGCCGGTGTCAGCCTGTGCGCACAGGGCCCGCCAGCCCCACTGGCCGCGCTGCATTGGCTGGTCCCTACCGTCGACGGTTCGGAACGGGGAAAAACCAAAAAACCCACCCGCTCCCTGGCCGAGGCCCGTTTGTGCGGGCAGGGGCCGGGCTGACAGGCGGCCCGTGCCCCGCGCCCGGCTCGGGCAGAGCCTGTGCCGCCCGGCGGGCGGGAACGAGCCCTCACAGGGATAGGCACGCTGAGCGTGGTGCATTTACACGTACTTTGTTGTTTTGCGGGTCTTTTTTAGCTACATGTTGTTGTGCTTTTGCTTAACCTGCATGCTGTGCTTAGGCCTCAAAAATGGGCAGTTAACACGTGGGGGTTTTTTTCCAGTTTTAAGTGTTTCTGCTGAATTTTACTTCTGATTTGCTCTCATCGTCGAGATTCTTCCTGAGAAGCGCAGTTGTCCTCTCAGATGACAAGCCGTGCCAGCCGGTTGCGGCAGTTTAACCCTTTTACACCTTTACAGGGTGCTAATAATAGCGGGCCGTATCCGGATTCCACAGCACAGCGCCCCGACAGTTTACCGGGGGAATTTTTAGAAGTTCCCCCGCACCCGAGGCACTGGCCGGGCACGTCCCTCACAGTCTCCTCCCCACC